GGGCGCAACAGTGGCGTATGAGTCGGACAAAGAGGAGGCTGCATGGAGGAACTCACAAGGGGATGCAACAGGCCAGGACCTCCAGCCCAAAGCTGATGCCCCAAGGAATGATGTCCCAAAGCTAGATGGGAACAGTCCTGCTTCAGTGGGTGCTGGTTTAGGAACGTAGGCTAAAACTAAAGTCTTAAGGCTGCCCCCACTGACAGAACAGAACCCCCTCCTTGGCCAAGACAACCTAAGAAAAACCTTAAAAACGAAATTCCTAGCTATGAGAGAAAGGAGATTAAACACATCTTGTTATACCCCCTCGCTTTTAGAGTTTATATATAACAATGAACTGATATGAATGTTAAAATAGAGATCATAAGACGGACAAAACACACTCTTTGTGGCAATAAGATACCAGATTACAAACACGATTAAGGCCAGGCCAGGCAAAGGTGAAGTCACACTGTAGGCAACCCATCTTGCTGCACAGCATCCTCAACATAAAACATTTCTTTTTTTTTTTTTTTTTTTTCTTTTTGAGATGGAGTCTTGCTCTGGCACCCAGGCTGAAGTGCTGTGGCACAATCTCAGCTCACTGCAACCTCTGCCTCCTAGGTCAAGCGGTTCTTCTGGTCAGCCTCCAGAGTAGCTGAGATTACAGGTGTGCACTACCATGCCTGGCTAATTTTTGTATTTTTAGCAGGAACGGGATTTTGCCATGTTGGTCAGGCTGGTCTGGAACTCCTATAATTTCTTTAAAATGTTTTACAGAGTTTGGTTTTGCCGTGAACAGGGACCAGGCAGAAAAGTGAAGCTGTGAAACCAGCAAGTATCACATGCAGCATAACACAGTCCCTTCGCCTCGATCACCAGGAGCTCACAAAAGTGCACGAGAAAGTCTAAGTCCATTATAGGAAATGAAGAAGCTTTATTTTTTTCTGCACAGCTGATTAGTGCTGTGTAAAAGTGTGACTCCACACATCTGGAAATGCTTGGCCCAGAGCCTGGCATCTATTAAGAATCAATAAATGGTAGCTATTGTTATTATTATGTTCTCCCCTGTCATACTGATACCCCCTGGGGATCACGCGTTCTTTCTCTTTCACCTCTTTAAGTTTGATTTAAAATGAGAAAGAAACACCCACTCTGTGAGTGACTGATGTAGACTCCACAAAGTCAAGTTATTTGTATGTTAAGGAAAAATATCCAAAACGTTGTTGGGGGGGGGGTGGGGAGGAGAGAAAAAACAAAAAAGATGACAGTGTGACCTTTTAATGTCATGCCAGAGCATTTTCTAATTAGCTATTTCTTTCCTCACAGTAATATACTTCGTTTAATTTATTATTCACCATCAAGTCAGGCCCAGATGGTCTCCTCCCTAGTCTGCAAAGATAAATGTTAACTTTTAGAAAATTGAAGTGAAATCTTTTTTTTTTTTTTTTTTTGAAGTCTTGCTCTGCTGCCCAGGCTGGAGTGCAGTGGTGCAATCATGGCTCACTGCAACCTCTGCCTCCTGGGTTCAAGAGATTCTCCTGCCTCAGCCTTCTGAGTAGCTAGGATTACAGGCACCCACTACCATGCATGGCTAATTTTTGTATTTTTAGTAGAGACGTGGTTTCACCATATTGGCCAGGCTGGTCTTGAACTCCTGACCTCAGGTGATCTGCCCACCTCGGCCTCCCAAAGTGTTGGGATTACAGGCATGAGACAACATGCCTAGCCAAAATCATTTTTTTCTTCATTCTAGTAGATAAGATAACCCCAAAGCTTGTGATTCTATTGTTCTGCTATCAGCCAGTTTTATATCTAACTGAGCAAAGTTATTTCAGCATTTCTTTTTCTACTGACTACATAAACATCAGTTTCTCAAACTTTCTGTGGAATCAGTCATTCATCTTGCTGCCTTTTTCATTAATGAGCTAAGGAAATCCTTGGCCAATGCTCATTATCTATTTTATGAGAATTATGTTTTTAACCATTTTTGAATTGTACTTTAACATAACTCTTTAGGGGTACATTCTGTAAACCCAAAATAAAATTCTAAGCCCCCAGCCATGTGAATGGACCCCTTCTCTCAGCCAAGGGCATTCCAAAGTTAACCGGAAAAACTGTTTCAGGCCATGATGAGAAGGGAGAATTGGACATGATATTTCATTATATCCCCTTCCTTTTGGAATTCAGGAAAAGCCAACCAGCATTAACATCAACACAGACCTTAAGTCTGATAAGAAACATGTACAACCTAGTCTCTCTGAAGCCTGCTACCTGGAGGCTACAGCTGCATGATAAAACCTTAGTCTTCACAACCCCTTATGTAACCCAGACGTTCCTTTCTATTGATAACAGCTCTTTCAACCAATTGCCAATCAGAAAATTGTAAAATCGACCTATGACCTGGAAGCACCCTCCCCCCATCCCAGTTCAAGTTGTCCTGCCTTTCCAGATTGAACCAATGTGAATCTTGTGTAGTTATTGATGTCTTATATCTTCCTAAAATGTATAAAAGCAAGCTGTACTCCATCCACCTTGGGCTCATGTCATCAGAACCTCCTGAGTCTATGTCACTGGCATATCCTTAACCTTGGCAAAATAAACTTTCTGATTGAGAGCTGTCTCAGATAGTTTTGGGTCACAAGTCTCAGCTCCTGTCTTCTTCACATCTTCCAACATGTTGTCACTGATTTGTTATTTGTATAATTCCTTATTCAATGTTTATCTCCCCACCCCACCCTCTGCTATAAGCTAAGCTCCATGAAGTCATGTCTGTTTTTATTTTCTTTCACTTGAAGCTGGAAAAGTCCTGAGTGAGACAATTCAGAAATGAGACAATTTATCTGAAAGAAATAATAGCAGCCCCATTGCCACTTCTCCCAAAGTTATAGTGCCAGGTTGAGCTATTTCTTCTGACTCTTTGACTCAGTTAACTGTGAAACGGTTGCCAAGGGGGCTTACCCAGCCTCTTTATTGGTAATATTGGAGGATAATATATATAGCCACAGGAAGGAAGCAAAATAAAAACTTCAGGATGAAGGAGACATTGCAGCTGACTATGAAAACAACACCCCATTTCGTCTGTGATCTGTAGCCAGCCTTGCTAAGGACTCCCAAGGAAGTGGCAGCTTCTCAGGCATAATCCGACACTGAGTTGCTCATATCTTTTGAGTGAACTGTACAAGCCACTTTAGTGTGCATGGAGCCAGTCATGAAACTGTCTTTGCAAAAATTATAACAGTGAGAAAATAATAGCAGTGAAAGAGATCTGATCTAACCAACCCCCATCTTGCCTTTAATCTCCGAACTGCCTTTACTCATTCCTGGGCTTGGGCCAAGTTAACTTCGGACAAATTTAGTGTATATTTTAAATGATAATCGCCCTTGCCCAAAACTAAGCCACTTTTATAAAGCTAATGAAAGACCACCAGGTTAGGAGGATGAGAGGAGCCTGAATTCTGCTAAGGTGCAGACATAATGGATTACCAACCATTATTCTGGAGGTCACAAGATTTGCAATTTCCCCAATTACTCCTGCAGATAACATCACTGTTGTAGAGCCTAAGATTGGCCTTTTGAGATGTCTCTTCAGGTTTATTGCATTTCTGAAAACCAGTGGCTCCACCCAGACCAGGCCACCAACCTAACTTTGAAGGAAATTTACTGTATATTTTAAATGATAACAGGCCTTCCCCAAAACTAAACTGCCTCTGTAAAACTAATGAAAGACCATTAAATTAGAAGAATGAAAGGAGCCTAAATTCTGCCAAGATACAGACACAGATTATTATTAGCCTTTATTCCAGAGGTCACAATATTTCCAACTTCCCCAATTCCTCCTGCAGATAACATCACCATTGTAGAACCTGAGATTGGCCTTTTGAGATGTCTTTTCAGGCTTTTGCCTTTCTCATTACCAGACTGCTCCACCTGGACCTGCCAACCAGTCCTGTGGCCCCACCCAGAAGTGGGCTCAGCCCAATAGGACCACTTTTCACACCCCTATTACTGCATCCCCAACCAATCAGTGGCACCCATTCTCCCAGCCACTCCACTCCTTGCCAAACTATCTTTGAAAAACCATAGCTTCCAAATTTTCAGGGAGGCTGATTTGAGTCATAGTAAAACTCTGTTCTCCCATTTAGCTGGCTCTAGGTGTGTAAAACTCTTTCCCTATTGCAATTCTCCTGTCTTGATAAATTGGTTCTGTCTGGGCAACAGGCACAAAGAAGCCATTGGGCAGTTACAGTCACATCATATAGTTTAGCAAAGTGGGGCAGGTGTAATGAAATAGGGAGTGGTGAGGACGGTGACAAATAGAAAATCCATGTCCTGTCTAAAGGGGACATTAACTATTCAACTGTTCTCAATTGTTGTCTTCTAGCCCCAGATTTTTAAAATACTGGAACTAATGCCCTCTGTCCCTTCCTCCCTCCTTCCCTCCCTCCCTTCCTTCCCACTTGCTTTCTTTTCTTCTTCTTTCTTTCCTTCCTTCCTTTCTCTCTCGCTCTTTCTTTCTTTCTTTTTCTTTCTTTTCTTTCTAACTCTTTTATCTCACTTTGTCACCCAGGCTGGAGTGCAGTGGCTCAATCTCTGACCACCTTACTCACTGCAACCTCTACCTCCCAGGTTCAAGCGATCCTCCCATCGCAGCCTCCTGAGTAGCTGGGACTACAGGCATACACCACCATGCCCAGCTAATTTCTCATGGTTTTGGTAGAGATGGGGCTTCACCATGTTGCCCAGGCTGGTCTTAAACTCCTGAGCTCAAGCGATACACCTGCCTCGGCCTCCCAGGGTACTGGGATTACGGGTGTGAGCCACCACGCCTGGCGTCTTTCTTTTTTGTTTTTAGTACAAGGACCAAATAAAATATATCTGCGAGGCAGATCCAATCAACCAGACATGACTTTGAGACTTTGCTTTAGTATTCCAATTTTTGGAGAAAAAGGAAAACATACTTGACCCTGTGTTTGATGGTGTAAGCTGTATGGTAGCTTTCAAAACAAAATCTTACTTACCAGCCATCAACACTGGCTTTCTGCAGTTCAGAAATCCCAAAGGACAAAGATCCCATGAAGTCATTCCTGCTGGTCAAATCCCAATCCCAAATCTCTACTGACAGTCTTCTGTCTTTGTCCGATTCTTTCAGCTGACTGCATAAAGAAAAAAAAAAAAAAGACGTCAGTGGAGGTTGTAGTAATTTCTCAAGCAGAAGAAATGTACGAGAGGACAAGACCTGGAAGTAGAAATCTTTAAAGATTACAAGCTGCTGGAAGAAACATATTCAGTTTCCATCCCAGGCTAGCTCTCCAGAGAGTGAGAGCTTTTTCCTTTTGACAGCCTGTGGCTTAAACAGGCAGGAAGCCCTAGACTGGCTATGACAAGAACAGTTCTAACTACTTTTGATATCTTATGTCTTAATAGCGTTCAGGGTATTCAGGAATTCCTACTGTCTATAAACAGGCAGGAAGCCCTAGACTGGCTATGACAAGAACAGTTCTAACTACTTTTGATATCTTATGTCTTAATAGAGTTCAGGGTATTCAGGAATTCCTACTGTCTATAATAGGGATATCAATTGCATAATTGGGTGTATATGTGTGTATATATCTGCACACGAGGGTTGAGATGAGACTGAGGAAATGTATGGAGAAAAATCCTGGTGTCTCTCTGGGGAAACTGTCTGCTCTGAGACATGTCCTTGATTGAGACTGAGAAGGGGCCCAGTTTTGCCCTGAGAGAGGGAAGAGGAGACAGGGCAATCACAAGGAACTATGCTTCTAGCTGGTGGCTTAAAAAAGTCTGACCTCTAAAGTCAGACTGCCTGAAGCTGAATCCCACTCCACCCCGAAGAATATGGGACTTTGGGCATATTTCTTAGCCTCTATAAGCCCTATTGCTACATTGGGAATAAAAAGAGCTGATGAAGTCAGATCGCTTAATCCAGTGTTTGTTACACATCATATATGTTCAGTGAATTGGCTGTTATAACTAACTCCTGATGCCTAGATGTATGAGAAAGAGACCCCCAGATTCCTGGAGCCCTGCCCAGGGGAGACCCTCAAGGGAGGCTGGTGGAGATGTCCCAGCAGGCTGCAGACCAAGCATCATCCACAAACCCAGCTCTAGAGAGGCTGTCACCACACCCCAGAGGTTATGTCCCCTGTTTTTTGAGTCCCTTCATTTCTCCCACCACTTGCCTTCACTTAGCAACACATCACACCATTTCCTATCCTGCCCACTCCCCCACACCACAGGCTTTCTCATCTCTATTAAAAAAAATAGCTCTAATTTTTTCTTGGCTCATAATACAAAAATGCAGATGGAAGAGAAGGGAGGGAAAGAGAGGAAGGAGGGAGGGAGAAGACAGAGAAGGAGGGAGGTAGGGAAGGAAGGAAACCAAAGCTAAGGGAGGAGGAACTCCCTGATCTCAAGTGGCTCATAACCCGACCTCCACCACCCATGCTCACTGCAGTTATTTCTACTTACAATCTAAATGTCTCATTCCACTCGGGGTTGAGGGAGCATTTGATGGTTTTGGTCTTCTGTTTGCTCTCACTTTTAGGATCAGGAATCAGTTTCAGTTTTACGTAGGGATCTGACAAGCCATTGGGGTCCATAGGTACAAGGTTTTTAGCGTCTCTTACTGAAAAAGAAAAAGCAATTTGAACATTAATACTGTCTAACATGTTTAAGCACCAAGCAGTGATGGCTGCAGAACTTGTGAAAGGTTCTTTGGCATCACACTTGTTTAGTGAGAAATTTAATTTTATTAACATCCATAGCTGAAGCAGCACACAAAATGAGATAAGCTGATAAGATGTCAACTCTATTGGTTAAAAGTGGATTTCTGGCTGGGTGCGGTGGCTCACACCTGTAATCCCAGCACTTGGGAGGCAGAGGCGGGTGGATCATGAGGTCAGAAGTTCAAGACCAGCCTGGCCAACATGGTAAAACCCTGTCTCTAAAAATAATAATAATAATAATAATAAAGAAAAAGAAAAGGGCATTTCTGACTTTCACACTGCTCTTCCCATACCAAGTTTAACTGTAAGTTTTCTAAGCTTGTTTTCCACAAAGCCCACAGCAAAGGCTGGCTTCTTTCATTTAGCATAATGTTTTCAAAGTTCACCACACTAAAACATGTATCAGCACTTCATTTTTTTTTTTCATGACTGAATAATATTCCATCGTATAGATAGTCCACATTTTGTTTACCCATTCAACAGTTGATCCACAGTTGGGCTGTTCCCACTTTTTGGCTGTTGCAAATAGTGCTGCTATGAAAATTTGTGTACACCAACACAAAAGGTCACATATTGCATGATTCTATTTACATGAAACATCCAAAACAGGTAAATCCATAGACAGAAAGTAGACTACTATTAATAGTTGTCAGAGGCTGGAGGGAAAGGGAATGGGAAGTGACTGCTTAATGAGTACAAGGTCTCTTTTAGAGGTGGTGAAAAGTTCTGAAAACTAATAGAGATGATGGTTGTCTAACACTGTGAATATTCAATAAATGTCACTGAATTGTACATTTAAAAACGGTTAATGGTTAATTTTATGTAATGTTAATTTTACCTCCACTCAAAAAGAAAAAGCTAGAAAAGAAAGGAAGAATTACTCTCTAAACCAAGGTGCACCTATTATCCATATATCACCCATAACCAGCACCCAGACAGCCCATAGAGAAAAGGCTGGAAAAATGTTGGTAGCATTACAGCTAGGCTCCACCCTCAGTCCAGAACACCCAGGTAAAGGAGGCTATAAGATGAACTTAGAGGAGAAAAGGAGGCAGGGAATCAGCAGTGAAGATGCAACTGGCCGTAGAAAGGATGAGGGAGACTAAATCATCAGCCTGGAGAAACAGGAAGCAACTAATTAGGAATCAATTCCGAAACCAGTAATGCAGGTAGTCAGTAGAAGTAGACTAGAAAATGAGAGTTGTACAGCTCTTAAGGATACAATGTCAATCATCTCACTTACAATAGAACAATCCACAGTAATATATTGAATCCAATCGACTTTAACTATCTGCTAAAAGGTGAATACATAATGACTCCTATGAAGAATGCAAAGATGGTTCAACCTTGAGAAATCTATTTTTGATATATTCATTATATTTATAGATTAAAGAAGAAAACCATAAGACCATTGCAGTTATCTAGAAATAGTAGAGAACTCTTTTAACAGGATAAAGGCTATCTGAAATAACAGCACAATGGTTCATGATAAATGCAATTCCATTAAAGACAGGAATAAGACAAAGATACCCATTACCACAGCCATTATTCAACACTTTTTTTCTTGTGTTCCATAAGTGCAGTAAGAAATAAAGAGTTACCCTCTAAACCAAGATGCACCTATTATCCATGTATCATTCCATAACCTGCACCCAGACAGCCCATAGGGAAAAGACTGGAAAAGTATCCACAGCATAAATAAAACCAGAAATTTTGTAAATTCAAGATGACAAGAAAAACAGATTAGAAGAAAGAATATGGGAAAGTAGGAGGTAAAGCACCCCCTCACTTCCTGCAACCTTTGCTCACTGCCAATCACAGTCATCTCCCATGGTCATGCTCTGGAGCCTATTATCCCAGGAATTACACCACTTTCTCAATCTCAGTTTCAAGTACCCTACTATCTTACACCAATTTCTATTTTTCCAGTTCATTAGCTCCATTATTCTGTGCAATAACTCTTCCCCTATTCATCAGACCATTCTCTACCAATCAGTCCCTTGTACCCAACACATTCTCTAGATCTCCCTATTCCCTCTTGCTTTTACTCTATTCATCCCCAGATTAGATTTTATGATGCATTTTAACTGCTCCCTTGGAAAGACCCTCAACTCCCTTGCCCCTCTTTCTTTCTATTTTACTTATCCCACAATAACCCAGCCCTACTTAAATTCAAATATCTATCCTTTCTCACTCTGTCCTTTTCCCACACTCAAACAGCTGACCATTGCTGGAAAAAAAAAAATAAGACTGACTTGCCCAAAACCATACAGCTAGTAAGGGGTTGAGACCAAATAAATGAGATGGGAGAAGCACTGAACTGGCTACCAGGATGCGAGTTGTAACTTATTCTATGCTGACATTTTTTCCGGCACTCCAGCAATGTTGGCACCGTCTTCTGTATTTCCACAGGCTGAATTCATCTTCCATCTCAGCTCGCAAGCTGCATCTCATTCTTACACCAAAAGCAAGATTTGGGCCTTGATGAATTAAGTTCAACAAGCAAGTCCCTACTAAGTGCTAAGCATTCTGCTAGGCCCTGGGGATACAGGGGACGAAATAAAATGTGAATCTTGTCCCGAAGACAGGCCATATAGTGTCATGGATACAGGGCTACAAGATGCCAGGGTCTGCATCTTACCAAGCAGTTACTTCTGACATTTGAACCTCAATTGCTTGATCAATAAAATAGATTGTTACAAGAGTAAACGTGGATGAACAATATACATATTTAGCACAGAACCTGGAACTTAGAAAATAATAAATGTTAACCACTATATATTACTGCTAGTTCACTATTATTCTTATTCATATTCAGTGCCCTCTTTCACTACATTTGTTGTGTGTGTGTGTCTGTGTATGTGTGTCTGTGAGTGACAGTCTCACTCTGTCATCCAGGCTGGAGTGCAGTGGCATGATCATGGCTCACTGCAGCCTCAACCTCCCAGACTCAAGTGATCCTCCCACCTCAGCCTCCCAAGTAGCTGAAACTACAGGTGCTTCCCAACCCATGCCTACCTAATTTTTGAAAAAAATTTTTTTTGTAGAATTGGGGGTCTCTCTATGTTGCCCAGGCTGGTTTCAAGCTCCTGGATGGGAGTGATCCTCCAGCCTTGACCTCCCAAAGTGCTAGGTTTACAGGTGTGAGCCATCGTGCCTTGCCTATTTGTCTATTTTTATTATGAAGACTTAACCATTTCCAAATGGACTGACATCAGAGGGAACCACCCGTGGTTTTCTTCTTAACAATGCATTTGATGTTTACTTGAACCCTTCCACAGGAGAGCTTCTTAAACCTTAGTGTGCATAAAAACTACTCAGAGGGCTCATGAAACACAGATCTATGGCACCCACCCTCACAGATAGATTCTGATTCCCTAAGTCTGACAGTGAGACCTGTCCATATGCTTTTCTAATGTGTTTCCATGTGATGCTGATGCTGCCAGTCTATAAGACACACATTAAGTAACCTTGTTCTGGAGAATAATAATTTCTCAAAATACTCATGCATTTTCCCCATAGAATATAATCCCTAACTGTTACTTTCATTTCTCGAGACTTCCAAGGAAAATAACATGTACTATTATTTATATATCTTTTCTAGGCTGGGATCTTGGAGTGACACATCTATCACACAGTGAGCTGCACACACAGAGGACAGAGACACTCAGAAGCGCCAGAAGCTTGTCTGTCTGGTTGATTGGCAAAACAGAGGCAAGAGGAAACAGCTCATCTTTCTTCTCCCTGGCAAGGCTACTCCCCCTCCTCCGCCCCAGTCTTATTAACTGACACTACAAGGACAGTCGCTGGAAAAAGGTCTGCTATTGTAAATTTAAAGAATTTACAGCTTTTATAGAGTGCTCTTTCCTGGACAAGGGTGTTGTATTTTGAAGCTGTCAATCTCAAGACTCATGGTTTAAGAGTAAATTTTTTTTTAAGACATGGTCTTGCTGGAGTGCAGTGGCGCAATCACAGCTCACTGCAGCCTTGATCTCTCGGGCTCAAGCGATGCTACCACCTCAGTCCCCTGAATAGCTGGGACTACAGGCATGTGCCTCTACACGCAGCTAACTTTTAAAAAGTTTTTGTAGAAATGGAATCTCACTATATTACCCAGGCTGGTCTCAAACTTCTGGCCAGCAGCAATCCTCCAGATTTGACCTCCCAAAGTGCTGGGATTACTTGTGGGAGCCACTGTGTACAGCCAATAATGGCCTTTTCTTGGGCATCTAAGCATCGCAGAGCCAAACATTCCTCACTGAGGCATGACTCCACCTCTCCCCTCACCCTCATAGGCCCTTTCTTCTACTTTTGTCCTTTTGAGCTTATTCTCCACCAAAGGGGCCAAAACATTCCGTGGAACAGAATGCCGTGGAATGGATCCTGAGACTGCTGGCATCCACATCTCCAAGAGCTCTGGCTACTAAAACACTCTATTACGAGCAGTTGACAGTAGCTGCAGGCTAAGATCCAAAGGGCTGTCCCTCCTGAAGCATCTCAAAGTCAAGTCGTGTTTCCCAGCAGCAAGAAAGCCGCATATGTATCGCGGAAGCAAATCTCTCTAGACCACACTTGGCGAGACCGACTTTGATTTTTCTTGATAAATGTTTCTTTACTATCTTTGTTGAAACCCAGCCAGCCCAGATGGTACCAAATGCTTCACACAAAGCAGAAATAGCAAACGTCCCCTCTGGTGGAAGTTTGCTAAGTGTACGGGAGAAGCGTGTCCTGGTCCAGAGAACAGTGCTTGCCTTGGGCATGGGGCCCTTGGTGCAAACTGAGGTCTGCCTATTTCCAACTAAGTGTTTTCAGAGCAAGTGAGGCCTGTTTCTGCATCCTGGTCCAAGTTCCCTAAGACAGCATCGAATCCGTAAAAAGAGGGCATGCATGTTAACTATTT